TGAGAAAGTGTTATTTTTTCAATATCGCTTCAAATAAGGCTGAAATGAAACAATAATGGATTCACAAAGTTTCGGTTTATTTCAAATATTTTGCAAACTAATCATGTTAGCCTTGATTTTTTAGAAGCATAATGTTGGTAACAGGTTTGAAACGTAGTGCAACAAATGAGTATAGTCACACTGGCTGGTACATGCGCTGGTTTCCTTCTGGGTCAGACGGCACGAGCCTGGTTTGTACTAATTTACATTTTAAAACGGGTTCAGCTGTGCGGGTACTTATGTTCGCCAATAGAATTTTGTCTATTAGTATCACGTGACTGCCCACGTTGACTGTATCTTCTTAGAGACCAATCAGTAGTCCTCATATTATTTTGTTCAGTGCGACGTTACTTTATTGTTTCAAACTTGGCTGGACCCGGCAGGCTGCACCAACCAATTAGAGTTTGAATTCCTTTTGTTTGTAGTTCTATTCTGTGATTAGAATATATAAACTGTAGAGCAGTGTTAATGATAATTAAACTAAATTTATAAAAGCAACCCTTAGACTTTTCTTTTTGATGCAAGGGACCATTATTTAAAATTTCTTTTGTGGGACACATCATACCAAATAGACTAAGAAGAAATTTTAACTCGTATTGCAGAAAATGCAGAAGTTAGTAGTTCTAGAACCACTGCTGTAAGTAAAATAGCAGTCCAAAAAATCTATCATAAGGGAAAGTTGTATCAATACCATTTTACACCAGTCCAAAATCTTTTACCAGCAGACCTCCCAGGTAGATTAGTTTGACTAGTATTTAGATTTCTTGCAGCACCGTTTAGTTAATACCTGGATGATTTACCATTACACTTACAGCAGAATCTCTGCTTTATGCAAGATGGGGATCCCCTCATTTTTCTGTCCAAATACGGAACTATCTTGATCAAACTCTTCCGGATTGTTGGATAGATTGTGGGAGTCAAATATCATGGCCTCCTCGCAGCCCTGATTTCAACCCCATGGACTTGGAGAAACTTTAAACACCCCGAAAGAATTATGGCAGCAGGTTTTAAATGCTACAGAATCATTTCGCGATAAGGATTTATGATGGTTTAAAATTTGACAATCTTTTAATAAATGTGTTGATAAATATATTGAAGTTAGAGGTGGACATTTTGAGCAATTATTGTCAGAAAGGCATATTTTTTGACATTTCTAAATTATTTTAATTATTTCAACTATTAGCTTTGGAAATTTCAAAGCCAAATACTATCTCAAAAACGGTGCGAGATAGCTACTTTCATAAAGTATACCTTTTTTGTCTGAAAAAAGTTGGGAAATAAGAATTTGATACCAAAGATGAAATCACTGAGATCCCCTAAAGTATAAAAATGTTATGTTGCTTTTAGCACATTTAATGTGCTGCAGCTAGCGCCCTCTAGGAACTATAACCAAAATGTGAATAGATTTCAATTCCTCGAGCCAAAGAACTCCAAACACCAAAATTTTGTGTAGATATTTGCATTTATTAAGATATAAATGAAAAATAAAATAATATTTTACATTTAACACCCACTATCAACTTTTGGACTAAGGTAAGTTCGGCAAAATCACAATATTTTTGCTTCGGAAATTTATTCATGAATTTTTGGGACCACCCTGTACATGTCTTGTTCTCAAAGTAGTTATACAGGGTGATTCACAAACGATTAAATAACTGAATGATTAGTGTTTGCCATGTCATTTAACTAAAAGTGTTTTCAGTTCGTTTTACTCAAAAATCAGGCTTACTTTGAAAAACATAAGATAGCAGTAATCCATAGAAAACAGAAAGATCAATCCGAAAATATCATGATTGTTACCGTAAAGCAGTGGTGTACTATTTTATTTAGAAAATAATGCCACCGATACCCTGTATCTCCGCCACTGGAGCATCTAAATTTTAGAAAAAGGCCTCAGATTTTGGACAATGTTCACATAAATACATGTGTCCAATTTCAAATTATTTCACTACCTAGTTTTTAAATTATTTAAAAAAATTAAAAATATTTTTTTAAGTTAAACCCTGTACCTTTTAACGAAACGTCCTAGATACAAATTTTATACGAAAGACCCCTTAAAATTCACCAAAGAATACGAGGTTGCATTTTTGGTCACCGTTTGTGAATCACCCTGTATTTTCTTTCTGTAGTAAAAATTTTTTGTATATCTTGTATATGGTGATGTCAAAAATTATCTAATAGCTTTCAGTATTAATACATTGCAAATATTTCTTAATTTATCAAGACACAAATAATTTTTCAACACTAAAATCTTTGTTAATCTTTAATTNATTCAAAAAAAAATATTCACCATTATTTTTGTAATATTTATCAGACAATTATCTTTTAAAGCTTATGTGGTAATTTTCTTTCCACTTCAAAGTTAAAAACTGAATCAAAACCTCCAACCACCACAAAATATGATTGTAAAACTATAACATAAACGATAATTATGACATTGCTGGTAAAGTTGTTATTTGAAATAACAAGTAGTACGATTTTCAACCAGTCCATCTAGTGGTTAACTGTATAACTGATTTAAAGCATGAATAACTATTGATATAAATGTATCCATTCATAACTTTCCTGAAACCCGTTTTAAATTATGAAACATTTATCTTTATGTGATCAGCAGTTATTTGTTTCATAGTGAAATGTACCAGAAACTGGCCATTAGACTTTTCTTTTTTATGCAAGGGACCATTATTTAAAATTCCTTTTATGGGACACATCAGACCAAATAGACCAAGAAGAAATTTTAACTCGTGTGGCAGAAAATGCAGAAGTTAGTAGTTCTACTTACTGGTGTAAGTAAAATAGCAGTCCTAAAAATCTATCATAAGGGAAAGTTGAATCCCTACCATTTTACACCAATCCAAAATCTTTTACTAGCAGACCTCCCAGGTAGATTACAGTTTGACTAGTATTTAGATTTCTTGCAGCACCATTTAGTTAATACCTGGATGATTTACCATTACACTTACAGCAGAATCTCTGCTTTATGCAAGATGGGGATCCCCTCATTTTTCTGTCCAAGTACGGAACTATCTTGATCAAACTCTTCCGGATTGTTGGATAGATTGTGGGAGTCAAATATCATGGCCTCCCCGCAGCCCTGATTTCAACCCCATGGACTTGGAGAAACTTTATAAACACCCGGAAAGAACTATGATAAGGATTTATGGTTTATAATTAGACAATCTTTTAATAAATATATTGAAGTTAGAGGTGGAGATTTTGAGCAATTATTGTCAAAAAGGCATATTTTTGACAATTTTAAATTATTTTAATTATTTCAACTATTAGCTTTGGAAGTTTCAAAGCCAAATATTATCTCAAAAACGGTGCGAGATAGCTACTTTCATACTAAAGATGAGATCACTGAAATCCCATAAAGTATAAAAATGTTATGTCGCTTTTACCACATTTAATGTACTGCAGCTAGCGCCCTCTATGAACTATAACCAAAATGTGAATAGATTTCAATTCAAACTATCAACTTTTGGACTAAGGTAAGTTCAGCGAAATCGTAATATTTTTGCTTTGGGAATCTATTCATGAATTTTCGAGACCACCCTGTATATGTCTTGTTCTCAAAGTAGTTATATAGGGTGATTCACAAACGATTAAATAACTGAATTGATTTAGTGTTTGCCATGTCATTTAAGTAAAAGTGTTTTCAGTTAGTTTTTTAAGTTTTACTCAAAAATCAAGCTTATTTTGAAAAACATAAGATAGTAGTAATTCATAGAAAACAGAAAGACCAATCCGAAAATTTCATGATTGTTACCGTAAAGCAGTGGCGTACTATTTTATTTAGAAAATTATGCCACCGATACCCTGTATCACCGCCACTGGAGCATCTAAATTTTAGAAAAAGGCCTCAGATTTTGGACAATGTTCATATAAATACATGTGCCCAATTTCAAATTATTTCACTTACTAGTTTTTAAATTATTTGAAAAATTAAAAATATTTTTTTAAGTTAAACACCCTGTATCTTTTTAACGAAACGTCCTAGATAAAAATTTTATACGAAAGACTCCCCTTAAAATTCACCAAAGAATACGAGGTTGCATTTTTGGTCACCGTTTGTGAATCACCCTGTATTTTCTTTCTGTAGTAAAAATTTTTTGTATATCTTGTATATGGTGATGTCAAAAATTATCTAATAGCTTTCAGTATTAATACATTGCAAATATTTCTTAATTTATCAAGACACAAATAATTTTTCAACACTAAAATCTTTGTTAATCTTTAATTGCCAGAATGGCAAAATTAAAATTGCCATTAACAAACTATAACTACTTTAATACGTAGACACATTACCTTCAACAAAAAGTAATGCAAATTTTAATCAACCATGGCATTTCTACATATTTTGACTAGTGTTGCATGCAATTATTAAATGCATCAGTGAACAGTGATTCAGACTTATTTGTTTCTTTTTTCTATATGGACCGATCCGACCAAGGAAACCTTCGATGATTAAAGCAATTTTTAGTAAAATAACTTCTATCAACACAAAATTCAGTTCTAACTTTGTTTATGACTAAATAGATTTTGGTATAAAAACATATACAGTTTGTTTATTTGATGGAACCTTCAAACTTAGCCTTATTTATTTTTTTAATATTACTACAAACTTCATTCAAATTTAAGTATCTTTTCTGTCACAAGTTTTTCATAAACTTTTAAGAGGATATTCAGCTAGATCTACCTCTTACAAGAATAGTATAAGTACAAACATATTTTATACAAGGTGTTCAAAATTCATTTCTGGATGTCAATATTTTAAAACTAATTTTTTCAGGGAGGAACATTCCATATTTTATTACATGTAATAATAGAGTCTTTGATTATCACCATTTTGAAATCAAGAAGTCTATCTTTGGTTGTTTTATTTAGGACTTTTAAAATGCCACTTAAATTTTCCTATGGTGAGCTGCAAGTAAATGGCCTGGGTAATTAAAACAAATTGAAAAATTAAAAACTCTTTAGTTACACATACGAATAATAGAAAAGTAAATAAAATAACGAAATCTTGATCCATTTAATTGTCGTCTTTACAAAATCCTGAGTCAAGGTCCTTATTTTATAGTCACTGGGATCCTATACAATATGCAGTAAGGTTTAATAATTATCACTACACTTATTATCACATTTCAACAGGAAACCGCATGATAGCAAAACAATTTCCACATTTTAATTATTGGACAGTCATTTAAGAATCTCGAAAGTTCCATTGTTTAAAATAACTAAAAATACTTTAAACCCAAGAGTCACAGTGAATGCCTGATAAATGGCCAAATAGCACTTAAGTACTTGGATAAATTGTTTCAAGTGTGTTTATGTTTGGAGAAATATTTCCTTTCCTAATAAACAGTACATTGACACCTTATAAAGGATAAAATCGGGCATGATTTTATTATTCTTCACTCTGAAAAAGACACCTTTCTTAAATGACTGTACCTATTGAACTATAAGTTATTTTCCCACAATTTTAAAATATTGTCTAACACTTCCTCAAACCACATGCGTTTTGTTGGATCTTTAAATGCCACTGCTAGAGTTTTCATCTCCATTTTTAAAATTGCTTCGTTTCTGAGGAGATTATTTAAGGTGCTGAGTAGTTTGGCATCTCCTGTAACAAAAAAAAAAGAAGATTAATATGGTATTCCAACTTACTCATATTAAACAGTTTTGTATAATGACCAGAATAATGAACATGACATGATGTTAATTATTCAAAGTAGATATTATATGAATGAGCAGGCACACATATGTGCCCAAGTACAACATAGTTAAGTCAATTTTCAGAATTTTGTTCCAAGTCTGGATTTTTTGGGTCAACAACGTCAAAATTATTTGAGCTACACATTTTCATTTCAAAAGACATAACACTAGTAAATATGACTGATTTAATACAATAAATAAATAAATACAGCATTGAAAATATATCAAGTGTCCAGGGGAAGTGCATAAACATTAAGGAGGTAAAAAATAGGTCAAAAAGTTTATAAAGGCCTTCAAGAAGTGTAACTTATAAGTCTATGACATTTTTTTAAATAATATTTACTTAAACCGTCACATACGAAACGAAATTGCTTTTGTAAAATGTTTCTATTTCCATAGATTTTAAAAGAAACTGTATAATTTTATTTCACATTTTTCAAAAGGATTTTGATTAATAGAAAGGCTAAATCTAAACAAGGTTGTTACACAAAAGTGACAACAAATCATAGACCCCGTAGTCCAGTCGAGTTAGACAAAAAAAGGGCTTAACCGGGAAAAAATTAGGGACCACAATTTTATTGTTCTAACCTTTGGGGGGGAGGGTCAATAGTAGTGTAAATTCAGAATCGCGACTGAATTCCAACCCTGCATCAGCCGCCATCTTAAATTTAAGGAAAAATCGTTTTTGCTCAATATCTCGGCCATTTTCAATTTTATAACAAAAATGGTAAGAACTTAAGTTGTTGCAAATACGATTTCCTACAACTTCTTTTATAACAAATTTTATCGTGAGATCGATATTTTTCAAGTTAAGGGGGAAAATAGTGACAAAGTGTAATTATTGAATTATCTCGTTTGTTACCTATTGACATATATGTACATAAACAAAGTTGAAAAGAATTATATTTTCTACAATCGTCTTTACCGCAAGTGTAGGACCTTAAATATTGGTTATAGCAAAAAAATCAAAGCGATCAAAATTGTAGAAAATATAATTCTTTCCAACTTTGTTTATGTACATTTATGTCGTAAAGTCAATAACAAATGAGATAATTCAATAATTATACTTTGTCACTATTTTCCCCCTTATATTGAAAAATATCGATCGCATGATAAAATTTGTAAGCAAAGAAGTTGTAGGAAATCGCATTTGCAACAACTTAAGTCATTACCATTTTTGTTGTAAAGTTGAAAACGGCCGAGATATTGAGCAAAAACGAATTTTCCTTAAATTCAAGATGGCGGCTGATGCAGGGGTGGAATTCAGTCGCGATTCTGAATTTACATTACTATTGACCCCCCCCCCCTAAAGTTAAAACAATAAAATTATGGTCCCTAATTTTTCCCGGTTAAGTTGTCTAACTCGACTGGACTACGGGGTCTATGATTTGTTGTCACTGTGAACCAGTTTCCATCATCCTGTATAACCCTGTTTTGGTGCTACTGCAATGATCCATAACTTGTAAGATTTTCTCTATTTAGGGTTTTTTATACTTCTGATGGAAATGTTTCCTAAACGGCCTAATTTTCAAGTGCTAAGGGGTTTAAATTAATATTTTGTTTATATTGTAAGAGCTGGAAGAGATATATTATTGATTACGTAGCTGATATTATATGAAAGCGCCCATTTTTTATCCTTTAAAAATTGTTCTTAGTAAGAGACTAAGATCTTATTGTTAAAAAATCATATTTTATATCTACAACTAAAGTTTTTTTTTAACTTACCATGAATTTTCAATAAAGATGGATAAGTGAATATATAATAATGATTCCTCAACACGGATGTGGCCCAGTTCGCCACTGACTTGTTCCCACTGGCCACCAAAATGGAACCCATATGGTCCGCGTAGAAGGGGCTGAAGAAGTCAGCTAAATTTTCACGGCTTACGTTCGTAATGCCAGTTTTCTTTAAAGTGTCTTTTATCACTTGGTAGTTCTTTTTGTTAAACACAAACACCTGTAACAAATAAATTATTGTTTAAAAACATTGTTTACCTAAAGATTTGTATACGAAGCGTTTGTCAGAGACACGTATAAAACGCGACAGTCGTGTTTTTATTGTTCTGTACAACCATTTATTATCTGAAAATATTTGACAAATTTTGATTGCATCTATTAAGATCCGTCTTGTGTGCGAAAAGCCTTAATTAACAATTAAAGATGGAAGCAAATAGTTATTTTTATGTTTTACGTAAAGGTAATGCTAATTTTACATTTGGTGTCACTGTCATCATTAATTGGATTTCTGTTTTCTCATTCCTTAACAAATTTTGACGTTCGTGGAAGTATCACTAACAATTCAATGCTGATAAGTGAAAAATTTCATATGAATTTTTAATAAACAATATTAAGAATAAATATTTCTTATTTATTATACATAACGCTAATGTATGTTTTTTCTTCTCTGGTATACAACAGGATATAAATGAAAAGGGAAGAATTCATATTTGGAATTCCAACTAAATCACTGGTTAAATGTCATATCCAAATGTGATAGATAACATAAAACCAACCGCTATTATATCTAGTTTTATATGGTGGTGTTCTATGGATGTTTAGAAGTAGACTTTAATATTCGAACTGCCATATTTATAGAATGTGCGTCTGACGATATTTTGTGAAAATACAAAAAATAAATAAGTCGGTTAATGAAAGTAAGAAAGAAAGAAAGAAAGAAAGAAAGATAGAAAGAAAGAAAGAAAGAAAGAAAGAAAGAAGAAAGAAAGAAAGAAAAAGTTTATTGGACCATGTTACATATATGCATATACATTTATGGCAAGTCAAAGGTACAAATGTGAATACAGTCATACATATATGTAAATGTGTATAAGACAAAGAAATATAGTATATCAAACATAACACATCACAAACAAGCCGAAACAATCCAACTTCACACGAAGCGACATATAACAGCAATTATTTATAATCTGTATTAAGAAAATCGTGTATTGTATAGAAACAGTATTGACTTAGATGCCTCCTACTTACAGTTTTAAAACAATTAAGATTTAACGATTTAACAGTAGTTGGTAGTTTATTATAAAGCCCAACGTTAAGAGAATTTGATTGTGACCTTGTAAGTCGGAAGCGGTCCGTTCTAATTGCATTAGAGTTTCTTGTGTTATGTATGTGAATGTCTGACTGAAGACAAAAACTGTTTATATTTTTGTATATTTCAGTTAAAGTGTAATATATGTATAGGCAGGGTAATGGCAAAATCCCAAAATTAATGAAATGTGGTTGACAATGTTCTCTGCCGCTCAGACCTGCTAGTACTCTAATCGCTTTTTTTTTGTAAAGAAAAAATCTTATTCGACTGGCTAGAATTACCCCACAAAATCACCGCATAGCACAGACGAGAATGAAAAAATGCTAAATTATAATGTACAAAATGAAGTGAAGTAAGTAGGGACTCTATGATGATATGCAACATCAAAATTAGTATTTCTTAATATATTGTAAGCTTCAATAAGCTTTTTTGATTTCATCAAATGTGACCAGAGGCGGATTGGCTATGCGGGAACTCGGGAGGTTTCCCGATGGGCCGCGGTCATTTTGGGCCGGTTGGCGCTGTAGAAGGATGAAAAATATTTTTCTTTAAAAAAAAAACGGGCCACTTGATGAATGTTTCCCGGGCCTGTTCATCTAGCCAGTCCGCCTCTGAATGTGACCCTCCACTTAGTTGAATCTATCTTGTAAAGGCCAATACAGTTTAGTTGATCAACTAAGTATAAATACAAATATTAATGCAGTTTTTAACGTTGTCTTATTTGCCTCTGGACATGTGTGGATTCTGTAAAACGTTTATAGCTTGCCGTATTAGTCTTTATCGTTTTTATGTGGTTGTTCTAAACTGGTAAAATAAATGAAGTAAAACTTAAAACATTCATTTGCTTTTACGTTTGATTCAATGGGTCCATAAAGAGACAATGAAGTTGTTTAAATATTTACAACATGCTTGTATTTCAATTCTTGTAAAGCACTATTACATTTATTTGGTATTCGATAAGTTGATATCTACCGTTCAACTAGTTTACATATTTGCTTTCATGGAATAAGTTTTGCTATAAGCTGAAACAGTTACACGATACATTTTTAACGAAAAACACCACCATACTGGAAGCAGAGTACACCTAAATAGCCACTTCATGCAAAAATACCGGTTAAATTAAACATTATCATCACTTTTTTAAATTTCTTACATGGTACGTACAGTATTTTAACTTACATTATATGAGTATAGTATTATCGAATGACTTGGCAGTAGGCAACACGTTTAAATAAACTATCAAGATTTTCCGTAATTATGCCACTTAAACTATTTTAAGAATAAACTTGGTATTTATAGTTGATTTAATTGTCGTTTATTTATTACCGTATCGTTAGAGTGGCAATTAGCAGTTTATAGATCGTTATACAGCATAAACAAATGTTTAAGCTACGTGCCCTTAAAATATATGTTAATTACGACATTAGCGAAAATTCAAAACAGTTAAATTAATAATACAGTGAAATACGATTCTGTAGATAAATATTTTATATTTTCGCTGAATTTAGCTGGTTGAGAAATTGAAATCATTTAATTGGCATGTTTTTTCCTTTCTATTATTTAGGCCTTAAATCAATTTTAAAAAGAATGTCGCAGGACCCTTAAACATCAAAATGTACAGGATGCACAGGATGTACAAAATAACTCCCTTACTAACAGAGATACATAATAGGTTAACAGAAAAAATATTTGAACGTCACGTTTAAAACATACTTTTCAAAATGACGTAAACAAATGGGACACCGTGGTGATCTTAATTTGAATAGAAAGTTTCCTCAGAATTACAATGATTATAAGGTTTGATAGATCTATGTATTTCTTTATGGTAATGTGCCGACATATTTTTGAAACATGTATTTTTAAGAATACTATAGAGATGCGATTTAGCAAAGACATTTATTTGCTAGATAAAGCTCTAAGTTTTGCAATTTAGTTTTGTTATTATATTCAGTACTATACAGGGTGTTTATTATTAAGTACTTGTACAAACTTTAAAAGGTAAATCTTTGATTAATTTCAAGATAAAAATTTTGTTTCAGCAATTATTGTAGGTAAATGTTATTAACTTATTTATAAAAGTAGTTTAGTCTTAGTGTTGTAAATGATCTAAGTTTGCCACATCACAATACAATCAACAAAAGACACATTTTTTCACTTGTTTTTCAAAAACTTTTAATGATTCAACTTACAAAACATTAAACCCATTTTTTACAAAACGGCAGCTTTCAGCGACAAATACTAAGAGTACCTTTTATAGGTAAAATTGAATGGAGAATAAGTATACATAGGTATTTAATCAAAAATGACATACAGTGCGATATAAACAAGTTATGGTTATTTAAATTCAGTTTCCCGAATTTCGTCAAATTGCCATGTTATTGAACAAAATATAATCAAATATTTTTTGGACGTTCTGTATTTCAAGAACCAAGCCATTACAGAATCATGTTCATATGAACTTTTTATCTTAAAAAATTAGTCAAATATTCATTCTTTAAAGTTTGCACAGTAGGAGGCGGTTTTACCTGAGGGGTAACGGAAAAATTGGTTTTATATCACGTTTTACGTTATAAAATAATAATATAGTTTTATTCCATTCGCAGTAAGCATTCTCAGTATCACAGTAAAGTAAAACGCAACAAAAAAAATTAACGGTAGGTACTAATTATAATACAGCAGATAGCATTCACTAGTTTCATTCATCAGTTTTAGATGCTGATTATTCTGAAAATGCTTAGTATGGTGCGATTCTCAGATTTGCCTGACAATAAAAGGTGCAAGGCAAGTAACCAGAGGTTAAAGTTGTGCAACTGATAAGAAAATAGGTACATTTTCGCTGCTAAGAAATACGTTGCGTCCCACATAGGTATACAGAAAATTTAGTTTGCAGATTCCAGATTGTCAAATATAACAATGGTTAGAACATATTCATACTGAACATAGTGAGTTACTGGGATCTGTAAGGAATAAACGGTATCCCGGAAGTTTATAGCGACTCAAATTTTTTTTTAGATTAAAAATGTCATATTGCAATTTTCAGGGAAAATGTTCCTTTTGTTTACATATAATCCATAAAAGAAGTTTTATTGATTAGATATGACGTAAACAATAAAAAAAACATCCAATATATTAAATTATTTATCGAATCATTAGTTTTTTTTTAATTTTTATAGTCCAGTATACTTTCCGTTAAAACATCAAAATTGATGTTTAGACATAAGTCTCGGACTTTCAAAATTATATCAGAACATACATATTTATACAGGGTGGCCCATCGATAACGTACCGCAAGGCATTACAGGGTAGTAATGAACTTTTCGGCAAAATCCAAAAACAGGTAAAGTTTGCTTCTGAGGGGGACAACTTTTGGCGCAAAAAGCATAGCAAAATCTTCAACCCCCTAAGTGGGGGTGCCATCCCCCAAATTTTTTTAAATGGGAATGGGGGTCAAGTGGGGGGTCATTAGAAAGGGCTTTTAATTCTCTATACATCGATTCTTACTTTTTGAAAATCGATCCATTATTTTAGAAAATATGCAGCTTTGAAAATACGAACAATATTTTTGACGAGAAATGCGAAAATCGATTTAATTTTACTTCAAAACTTACGGTATTAGCTTGGTAAATTCCTTCAAAAGAATTCGCTGTTTTTTTTTCTGATTTGCGAATTCTTTAGCCTGATTTTGGTGAGCAAAAAATTGTCCGCTTTTTGTTTCGTATTTAGATAGGCCACAAGAAGTTGCTAGATAACTGTCTTGTGACTTGTAGTTGAAGAGTACCAATACTGCCGAGTCTTTTAAATTGATTAATTATGGTGTACTCAATTCCAGAAAGAGTAGAAATTATTGAGCTTTTTTTCAAAAACAATGAATGCGGAAATCGGGTCGCCGAACTGTTCAACCAACGGCA